ACCATGGACTGAACCCTCTGAGACCATGGGAGCAGCCGACCATGGACTGAACCCTCTGAGACCATGGGAGCAGCCGACCATGGACTGAACTCCCAAACCATGAGCCCAGACAAACCAACTTGAGGATGTCAGGTATTGCATTGCAGAAATAGGACAGTGACTTGTTCAGAAGGTTGCAGAACTGTGGAGAATGTGAGTGTAGCAGGATTTTTATCCCACAGAGATGGCCTGCTCTGGAGGTGAATTTGAAGGCCAGTGCCAGTTTGGGAGACAAATGCCACCTTCTTTGGTGAGGAGCTCATCCAGTCTGGGCTTCGGGAGTTCTGAGACAAGTTGCATAGAATTGTCCCACCCTGTTGTTTAAAAGCTGCTAAGTGGAAGGAGCGTCTGAGGGGGACTTTGGAGCAAAAATGTGCAATTTCACCTCTTTAATGATGGCACCTTGTGTCTCCTTCGGTATCAAGACTTTCAGTGCTTGACGTTCAAGATTTCGTCATGCTTCGTATTTGTCACTTGCCATGAGTGACATTAAAAGAAAGGATTAAAAGAAGACCAATGTTTAACATCTCCAGACCATGCTAAGAAATAGGAGTAGAATTCATGACATAGAGAGGGCTTTAGTGCTTGCCCTGAATGTAAATTCTGTGCATTCTCATTGCTTTAGAAGCATGTGGCCCGTCACAGAGACACAAATGCTGTCACCATCCACGCATCCACCATGTATTTATGCACACATTTGCTCATCCATCCACCCATCCCACATTCAGCCACCCATAGACCCATCAATTCACACAAACATCTGTCTTTCCATTCTTCCATCCATAGTTCATCCATTCAGCCACCCATGCAGCTACACATCTGTGCATACAATCATCCACTTATCCACCCACCCACCCATCCAGCTGTCCGTCCATCCATCCTTCCAGCATATTAACAATCAGTCAATCCATCTATCCATCCATTCATCAGCCAGCCAGCCACCCATTCCTGCACTGATTCTATCTATCTGTCTATCTGTCTATCTATCTATACTTTTTGAGGCCCAGGTTGACTTTGATTCTTCCTTCTGCTTGTGAATGGAGCCAGTCTTTCACACGTATGACTCTAATTCTCCATCACAGTTTTGGGATCTTGGAAGCATTCAGAACCAGCGGGAATGGGAAACGGGGCGGGGAGGAGAGCAGTTGTCACCATGGCAGGATTCTGGTCCTGTGCCCCGTGCCGTGCTCCGTGGAGAGCTGCGTGCTGGATTTTTTTTGCGGGGGGCAGGGGGGCTGCTGGATTTTCCTCTGTCTCTAAGAGCCACATGTTCTGAGCTCCACACTGCACTGAGCATCTACACTATGCCTCCTGTAAGTCTGAACCAAATTAATCGCTTGCTGTGTGCTTCTTCATATTCTCCTTTTCTCTTTGGCAGTATTTCTTCCCTATCTTATGTGTGCGTGTTCACAGGGCTGTCGGTGGTAGGAAACGGGCCTTCACACTCAGCCAACCTGGGGTGATGTCGTGGTCCTGTATCTCAGGGTAATTGTGGTGAAATAGAATCAAGGTATCTTG